GCAGCTTGTTAATGATTTTATCGTTTTGCCTTATCAAGGTGGGTTGGTGAACGTTGGAGCTAATTTTCCACGAAGGGGAACCTGGAATCATGGTTATGTTCCGTCTGTTATTCTCTTTTTATCATAGTTTACGGTTGGAAGACATTGACTGGGAAAGTAAAAGGCTTATTCCCTACCTCCCTCTGCTCAAAATCCTCTGTACACTGACCTCTCTCACGAACCACTGACAAAATGCCGGGGAGATCCATTCTCTGGCGTGGAAGCCACAGTCCATGAAAACGGCTGGCTTGTTGGATCCGGCTTTGCCAACCTGTTCCAAAGAGGAGGAGAAGGAGAACGGTGAACCGCGCGGCCTCCAGGGGTTCACGTTGCTTCTCATCCGGGCCTGGGGCCCAACAGGGGAACCCTGGCAGCAACAAGCGCTGTGTCCCGTGATGCAGTTAAGACACAAGACTAGCGCAGCGTGTCCTGCCTCCAGACATTCAGTGTTTCAGCAGAAGGCCTACCTGGCTGTTTATTGTTTTTATTAAGCTTGACAAGCTCCTATCTTCAAAAGATGCTTGATTACTCCACTTAATTGTACTCACGTGGAGGTAATTTTCAGCTGCTACTATTAGGTGCCGTGACCAAGACAACTGGATGAGTAATTAGAAGTAATCATGATTGTTGCTACTCTCCGAAGATTTGTCCTCTCCCTCGGATCCCTAGCCTTTTTTCTTTTCTTCATTAGAATTACATGACAAAAATGACATTTGAGGACGACATAAACAAATTGTCGATACGCTTTGTAATGTTGTCTGATAGACGTGAAGTTTATGAACCTCTTTAGCAAATGGATTTGCAAACAACAGCTGGGAGAGAACAATTTCATCAAGGTAGATGATCATTTACATGGCTTACAGGAATGTGGTGAAATTTATAGGACTTCTCTGGCTTTATTGCATTTTTCTTTTTGAATAAATCAAAATAATGATGTTAAAATCCACATACGGTAAAAGAAGCCAGGGAATCTGTTTGATTCTCAGGGGCCCTGCTGGATAGGCAGGGGAAGAGTTATGACCATCTTTGGGATAAGCATCTCCGTGGAACAGATGTTCACGGTGATTTACAGCTCCCAGACAGGGCAAGGTCATGGTGGAAAGGGATTACCTTGAGGAGGTACATGGAGCGGCCTTCAAATGTGGTTCCGATGACACTCTGAGAGATGAGCTCTGGATTATCAGCAGTGACTTGTTGGATCCAAGCCTCGATCTAGCAAATGAAAGCATTTATGCCTTAGCGTGATGTTCTTGGTTCGACATGCAAAACAAAACAAAATGAGAGACCCCCTGTCCCCACCCCCACATTAAGCCATAGACGGCGTATAGACAGAGCAGAACTGCCCTTCCTGTCTTTCCAAGGCCCCGTTGGGAAGCAGGCAAGCACTTAAACCACGGAATCCCTGCCTTGCTCTCTCGGGTCCCAAAGCAAGGTCTCCATTGTGTGCACAGCCTACCTTCTCCCAGGAGTTGTACTTCTCGTAGCTGTGTCCAGTGGCACGGACCTGGCTATCAAACTGTGCCTCCAGCACTGCCCTCAGGTTGTTGATCACCACCCTGCAATCAACCAGAGAGGATGCCCCTGTGAGCACAGCGTCTCCTTTACTGGCGAGCACACGGGAAACCTCAAAGACGCTGGTTCACAGCCGGTGTCCCACCTTGGGGCCACAAGCTGCCTTCTGAGTGTGCTTGGTGACCTCCATCCTGAGCTGGCCTCTCAAGGGAGATGCTGTTACTGATCACGAGGTGTGAGTATGTCCTTGAGGAGGATAAAGAAGTGTGGAAGCAAGCCTCATCTATTGGATGTCCTTCAACCTTAACCTTGAGAGGAGCTTCACTTGGAACCTGCTGCTTTCTGGATGGGACCCTGGAGATGCCACCCACACTATACAATGGAGACCTAGCTCTTGTTTCTCTGTCCCTTCCTGGTTTAAAAAGTTCCCAGTCCTCAGAACCTATTCCCACGAAACCCACTGTTATCAGAGTCACTTCTGACTCATCATGACCCTCTAAGACAGGGCCGAATGCCCCTGTGGGTTTCTGAGGCTGTACATCGTTAGGGAAAGCCTCCTCTCTCTCTTGAGGAGCAACTGATGAGTTTGAATTCTTGACCGCAGGGCTCGCAGGTGAATGCATAGCCCATGAGGCCACCTGAGTCTCCCTAGGGTCTTACTCAGTCCCAGGCAAACTTGGCAAGCAGACACCTGGACTTTTTGCAGTTTCTGAAGGAAATAAATACCTGGTGGATGGAAATTCAGAATTATCAGCCAGCTCAATTTTTATTCGATGTGAGTAGACTGGGTTTAGGGGGCTAGCTTAGATGTGGTTTATTTTCGGCTGGTTTAAAATCTACAATGGTTTCCGTCACAAGATAAAACGACAATTGGTGACAGGACCTCTGAGGCTAGCGTACTTCTCGAAAAGAATCATTGCTATTATAAGAGGCAGGCCCGGAGGCACAGGTGTGTGATTTCATTCCCTCCGCTGCTGTGACTGGGGAAAGGACAGGCTTTTATGAGCGTGATGCTCCTGATCACAGTCTTGTGACTGTTCCAGGGTCGGTGTGCAGCAACGTCTATGACACACCGTCAAGCCTTGGGATGGCTTATCTGACACACAGAGTTAGAGCCACACATCAAAAGTCGGCTTCCCCTCCGGCTGCCCCAAGGGTGCTCTGATGAAGTATGTCAGGGACATCCTCTGAAGCTCCCTCCCAGTTTCTCCCTCATTTGGTGAACTTGGGCATGAACTTGTATCTTAATAAAAGGCAAACGCTAAACTGACTTGGCAGAGTTTTGGGGTTTTTTTAAGGAAAAGGAGCAGATTTTAAATCCACGATATGAAAAGCTCCCGCCCACACACACACAGACACACACTGATTAGTCAATGTCTCGTTTCCCTTCTTTGGCCTCTGCAACAAATCACCACAGATATCAAAGCTTAAAACAATGCAGATTGATATCCTTCTAGTTCTGTAGGTTAGACCAACACAGGCTCTGTGGGCTAAAATGAAGGTGTCAGCAAGGCTGGGTTCCTTTATGGGGGGTCGGGGGGCCCATGGAGTCCGTGGCCTTTCCAGCTTTCAGAGACTGCCCTTGGCCCCTGGCCCCTCTTTTTAATTAGACATCAAATTTGTCAAGCCCTCACGTCACATCAGTAGTCAGCTGGTGAGCAATCTTCATTGTCTGCAAGCTCAGTTCCCCTTTGTCATGCAACAAATTGTATTCCTGGGCTTGGGACATTCGGACAAGGGCAGCTCGAGGGGCCCTTAGAGACGGGGAATCCAGGAAGTGCTGTCTGGATATTCAAACCCAAATCCTGGGGTCAGGGAATAGGGTGGTAGCCTGTTTGGTAGCTTAGCCTTAGAGAAGGATTTGATCTTTGGGACTTCATTAAGGTGACCAGATTTTAACATTGGTAAAGCGGGACACCCTTGATAAAACGCATATCCTGGCAAAATAGCCACATGGCAGCCGAAAACCGTATACCCTAGCTTGTCGTGCATTCTTTCCAAAAATCGGGACTTTTTAAAAACGCTGCGGGATGCGGGAAAATTTGTTAAAAATCGGGATTGTCCCACTAGAAGCGGGGCATCTGGTCACCTTAGACTTCATTTTAGATAACTTAAGATGGGGTGTTTGGCTTGTTGTTTTCTAACATCCATTTCAGCTCTAAAATGCAGTGACTTAAAATCCATCCCCTAAGTCCTGGCCATTGACACTGACATTTCCCGACATGTCAGAAGAAACCACAAAACTTGAAAAGCCGACAGAGTGGCCAGTCACCACCTTCATAAACTATGGGAAAACATGGAGGGAGCTAACGACCAGCATAGAAAAAATTCGGGAAAATGGGTTTCAAGGCGAACAACAATAAAACCAAGGAAACAAACATAAAACTAAACAAAACCTGGAAAGCTTCAAAACAAAACAGAGCAAAACGAAAAACCAACGGGCCTTACAAAAACAGCTGTCTCAATATCATCGCTTGAAAAGGAGGGCTCTTGCCTCACAGTCATGACCTTCTCAGAATGAGGCAGGGATGGGACACGACACCTGCTTTCATTTGAGCAAGAGTTTAGGATTGTCCGCTTGAGTCCTGGTGGCATGGTCCTTAAAGTGCTCCGCTGCTACCAGAGGGTCAATGGGTCAAACCCACCAGTTGCTCCATGGGAGAAAGAGGTGGTGGCTGCTTTTGGCTTTCCAGCCATGATAAATCGATGGGGCAGCTGCACTTTGTTGCTACAGGGTCAGCCTGACTGCAGTGGGCTTGGATTTTGGGTTTCTGTCGTCAGAAAACAAGTAAAGTGACATTTAGGTCACTCGGCTTCTTCACGGAAGTTCAGAGCAGAGAACGGATCAGCTCATGATTCCCGGGGACAGTACCATAGCCACACATCCTTCAACAGGTGTTTGTTTGTAGGGCCAGGTCTATAGACGTGTTTATGATCCATCCAGGAGAAAGGAACAGAAAGACTTTCATAGCCCTTCTCTTTCATTTGCACCCCACCCTCAAGTTCCAGTGATTTAGGACTAAGTTAGTGACTATGCAGGGGGCTCGAGTCTTGTTTGGTGCTAACAAGAGACATTGTCTTAGAGTTATTACGGTGTTAAATATTAAACATCTTCATCAACAACCTGGACAGGGCTACATAAAGTAACGATTATTTGAATTTAAGATGACACCGAAGAGTAGAAGTATCCTCTGGTAACTCGCAGAAGAACTTCAGAATGTGGAAGCATCGTGGGACCAACTTTTTTGCTTGAAGGCGGGGGATTGACCTCGAATGCTCCCTGCCTGTCCTATGATTATTTTATTTTATTAGATTTAGGACAAAGCACCACTTTAGCTATATTACCAAATATTATTACTAAATAATGAGCTTCTTTCCTAGAAGATTAAAACAATGCCTCTTAATATATGGAGACCTCATTACAGCTCCAAAAAGCAGAGGCACGTACACTACTTTATATTTTTATATGCTCCTTTCACGGAGCCAGCCAACTTGCCCTTGGTTGGCTTGTTTTTACCCGCAGGCAAGTTAGAAAACTGGGACTTGCCGTGAACCAGGAGCACAATGT